CAACATTATTAAAATAATGTTGCAAATCTATATTTTAACAATGTTTCTGAAGCATTGCATTGCAATATGAAATGTTGCAACTTTGCTGCAATATTGCTGCAAACTTCTGTGCTGTATGGGTTACATCATGTATGTTGTGTTAATTTTAAAAATTATTTTGATTCGATTTTATCGAAACAGTATATTAATCTGAATTTATTTTGTTAATACGTTTTATTTTTGATTTATGAATATTTTCCAAAATGTCTTATTATCTTATGTTAATTAACATTAAACTATATATATTGCATATTTCTCTTACTATATGTTACAATGTGTGCATCATTTCATTTAAGGTAAAAATTTTATTAGAATTATTTAAATAACTTAGATTAGTATTACTAATATTATTATTAATACCTCGGTTTTGACTAGAATATAATTACATTACAATGGCAATTGATATAAACTCTATAATACATAATTTTGTATATATGTATATTTATATAAATGAATACTTCTCTTTTCATTTAATTTTATGAAAGAAAAAAGTACATGAAGAATTGTTGGGAATTTATGGCACGGAAACAGTAAAATCTGCACCAATTAAATACGATGATTTACAATATATGCAATATTTGGAGCGAGTTATCAAGGAAACGATGAGGATTTTCCCTACTGTCCCTGTGATTGGACGAAAAACAACAAAAGATTTAAAAACAGGTTTACTCATTTTTATATACAATAAGTAGATATTAATATAACGTATGTATATTAATAATTCTTATTAAAAATACTTTTCTCTGAAAAGGTTAAGATTTAAAGCTAAACATATATCAAAATATTAATCTTTAACTTGATTATATACTGAAAAAGACTGTGTAGCTGAATATTTTTGTTATAAAAATATTTGAATACTTTATAAAATTTTTAAAGATAAGGTATTATTTTACTAAGATGATAAGATGTAATATAGAATAAAAGCAACTATTTAAAAAAAACTGTTCATTTCCTGTGTTCAATATCACTTTGTCAATAATATGTATATATGTATCCAATTGTGTAATAAATGGCGGATTGTATTATTTGTTTCTATTATATTTTTGTTGTAATAATCTTTTAATATAAAAGTACACGCTTTAGGAGAGACTGTTATACCAAAAGGTACAGAAGTTTTTATAGCAATTATGAAAATACACCGAGACGAAAGGTATTGGCCAAACCCTTTGGTGTTTGACCCGGATAGATTTCTTCCAGAAAGACTAAAGAATTGTTCCATATTTTCTTATCTTCCGTTTGCTGACGGACCAAGGAACTGTTTAGGTAGGCATGTATAAATTATAAATTATCACGATAAATTGATTTATAATTATTAAATTGCAGGTATTAAATATGCAATGATCTGTATGAAAGTCATGTTAGCAACATTGATACGAACGTATTTATTCAAAGTTAATAAAAGTATTGAATTGGATAAAATAAATGTGACACTTGACCTTGTAGCAACCCCTGTTGAGCCTTTTAAAGTCAAAATTGAACAACGATCCAATAAAATATTGTAGAAATATATTAAATGTTTGAAATTATATTTTTTTGTAAATATTATACTCTGCATATGTATTATTATATATTGGTGGTTATGTTAGATTTATTATTTTTTTAGTTTATAATATAACAATGTAACATAGATAATATATGTATCAATTAAAAAAATTAAAGTTAATTTTTGAAAATTTTTTTATACTTACCGTGTTTGTTAATTTTTAAAAACAATCAGTTTCTACTCATGTTTCTAAAAACGACTTTGTAATTATCAATATATAAAGTTGAATAATTATACACAAATCTCTAAATTATTGTTACACTTAATTATGTACATGTAATATACAATAATATATCTGTTTTTATTTGAGAATTTCTTTTTCTTAAGTTAACAATATGAGGTGAACATTATGACATTCATAAATGAAACACGCTAATATACTTTTTATCAGGTAGCTAGAACATCTTACTTTGACGTTAGATTTTAATCACTATTGCTGCCTGTCAAAGGATTTACTGACATTTTCAAGACCTAAGAAGACGTTTAAATATTAGATAGTTGACTATATTGACGATGGTAAAATAACGACATTAAAATGACAAAAAGTGTTTGGAAATTAAATTCACAGCTTTTATCTTGAATCAACCAGGAGTGGATCAACTTTTTCGGCTCGCCACCTGCACCGGCGACAAATCCCCAGCAAACACAAAATATAACTGCTGTATGACACAAAAATAACGTATAATATAACAAATGTTACACGCTATTTATGTAAGAATTATAAAATTTTACATTGTACATACAATATATAAGTGCAGAATTATGATATTATTTTATTACTCTGTTATTTATATGGTATAAAAGACGAGCAATAATATAACTGCAATGTCGCGTGTTACATAATAATTGCTATGTTTATATTGTATTTATATTATATGTATAAGTACTTTGAATTACGCGAGACTCTATTAACCTAGCAACCGCGGTGCGTGCATATTTTCAGTGGTGAAGTCGGTCTTTTCCGCTCGTGACATTATGTATTTGCTTGAAAGTATTTTTTGAAATCGCGACTTTTATCCAAGATACTCTTTTTTCTTTTTTACTTTAATTTTATATAGAATATTAATAAAGTTTTATGGAAAGTATTTCTACATTTAATCAAAACTCTGCCAACAAGCTTGAGGTTATTCTTCATTGTTTTGAAAACCGCTTAGCTAAATGAAGTATTCAAAGCTTAAAGTAAATGCAGGGATTGGAAATAACTTGTTACTTGTAACGCCGTTACCATTACAGTTGTTTTTTTTTTGTTAACGGATAATTAGTAACGACGTTATTTTATTTTTTTGGTAACTGTAACGTTAACGCAGTTACATTTTTTCGGTAATAGTAACGAATTATAGTTACTTTTATCGTTACTTTTTTATTTTGAACTTTTCGCATTTATGTAATGTAATTGTATGAAATAAAATTACTAGATTTTATATTAATTTTAGCTATTATATATTATTGTATATTTAAAATTGAAACATGTTTAAACCATGTACTTTTCATGTTTTGAACATTATGTTTTTTAAAAATACTGTTCAAAACATGTTTTAAATAAAAAAACTACAAGGTTATGTTTTTAAAAAATATGATTTTTGCCAACCCTATGCATAGTGCGCTATGTTACGAAACATCCCCCCTCTCGTTGTCAATTGGCTCACCGTTCAGTGTTCACACGTCGTTCCATTGTCTCACTTTCGAGTCAGCTGCCGAAGCGTGAAGATCGTTATCTATATCTGAGCTTACTATCTTTCGCGTGTTGATTTGTTTAAGTGACAAAGAACTGTCGATTTAAAATCCTGGTAATATTTCGGCAAAGTTTTCGTGCCGCTGAACTGATATTGCATTTACGAGTAATCGGGTAAGATTTTATTTGATTCGGATTTGAATCTTTATTTGAAAATGTCGAATATATAATTGTATGGAATTCGAATACACAATTCACATTATATTTGACATTTTCAAATAGAAATTCAAATTGAATCTTACTTAAATTGATTATTTGATTTTATTGATTCGATTCGTTAATTCAAATAACTCACACACTTTATTGTAATTGCACATATAATTGAACTACTTAGCTGTTACATAAAATTGTACAATAAATTAATAAAATCTGTTTGATGTATGAATGCTAATTAAAATCTTATCTAATTTAAAAAACCGATCTTTATTTTTATGTAACATGACTTATCTACATTTCCAATAAAGGCAATTATAGTTTTAAAGGCTGGAAAGAAAATCGGTTTTTTTCATTTTTTCCGCGGATTTTTTCGGTTTCTTTCCCAAGGGGTAGAAAAATTCAATGGAAAAATTTTACGTACATATTCTTAAAACCTATCATATTTTACATTTGCA